AAATTTCTTAAGAAAATTACATTTTATCTTCAGGTTAGGTCGGGCCGGAGTTTTTTCACTCTCTACCTGAATTTGACATGACCTCACTAGGGGTGTAAATTAGCCAAGCTTGGACGAACAAGGCTATGTTCGTAACCGTTTATTTATTTTTGAATGTGTTCGTGTTCGTTTAAATTTTCAATATCGTGTTCATGTTCGTTTATTTATTTTTAAAGGTGTTCGTGTTCTTTTATTTATTGTTCATGAACATGTTCTTTTAATGTTTTGCGAACATGTTCGTTTATATGTTCATAAACATGTTCGTTTAATGTTCGCGAACTTACTCGTTTATATGTTCACGAACGTGTTCATTAACAAGTTTGTTTAACATTTTTAGTGTTTGTTTATCGTTCGTTTACATATTCGGTTTTTAATTTCATTTGTAAGTTACAAATGATAAACTTACACCACTGGTGCTTAAACTCTTTAAAATTCATAGTTTAAAATGCAACTTTTATTATGTGTACTATTTAATCCTTATCTTCACCAATATTTAAAGTGTAAAAAAAATAAAAGAAAAAAGAGCATCGGGTAAACGAGTTTGTTCATGAACATAAATGAACAAGTTGATAAACGAGCTTGTTCGTGAATATAAACGAACCGACCACACCTTTGATCGTGTTTGTTCGTTTATTAAATGAACATAAATTTTTGTTCATGTTCGTTTATTTAACTTAACAAATGAACATAAACAAATGTTATACGAACAATTCACGAACAGTTCACCGAATGCTATGTTCATTTAACCCCTTGACCTCACCCCTTAAAAATTTGACTCGAACTCAAAATTTATTTTAAAAGAATCCGACTCTAACGGGTCGGGTCAAAACCCATTGAATTCGGATTAAATTCTCATCCCTATTTGAAAAGCTATAATTTAGATACTACATGGATGTGATTAAAGGTGGGTATATGGGTTAAAACTCGCGGGCTACCCGTTTAACCCGTGACTCGTGCGGGCTTTGGGCCTAAAAAACTAAAGCTTGTTTAAATTACGGGCTTTTTAGTCCGGACCGTTAAACCCGCAGGTTTAATGGGTATAGCCGCGGATAGCCCTCGAAGCCCACAATAGTCCGCTTAATTTAAAATTTATAAAATTTTAGAGAAAATAAACTTAAAGAATTTTATAGAAAAAGAACATAAATTACATATAAATATGATGTTACTTATAACCATTGTAGTTCTTAAATTTATTATTGCATTTGTCATAATTCTACCGCTACTTGATATTTTTTTTCATTTACAATGTATCAAATTATTCTTCATTTAAAAAAAATAAAAATTAAAAGATTTATATAGTATTTTAGTCTTATAAAATTTACATCATTATCACTTTGGTATTTAAAGATTTTTTAATTTAATTTTGACCTTTATTTTTTTTCATGAAGTATGTTATCAATTTCTTTCTTTAATTATAAAAAATCACGTGATATTCTAATAATATATCACATGACACGTAATATTTGGATTAAAAATAAGAAAGAAAAATAAAAGAAAAAATTGAAAACATACTTTTCAACTTTTAAACAATTTTAAAGGCTTTTACAAAATAAATATATTTTAACAAATTAATGACTTATATTTTATCAATTTTAATATAACCGTATCTTTCAAATTTACTCTTATACTGTAAGTATTTTATTTTATGCTGTAAGTATTTTATTTTATGCTATAAGTATTTTATTTTATATTTTCATATTATGTTTTATTCTTTCTCTAAAGTATCCATAAAATACAATTATTAGGACCACTTGACAACTTTCTTGTTAGATTTGTATAATGTTTGACTTTGTTAAATTTTTATGTTTGAATTTCTGCTTGCAGACACTTTTGTGTCTTCATGTTATAACCTTGAATAATTGTGTTTTATAAAAGTATAATGTTGTTATTGTTTTATTTGTTTTTTAATTTGATGATATAAGTGAATATTATTTTTTTTAATTTGAGTTTAAGTAATTATATCATTATATATATATATTAATGATTTAAAATTTTAAAAAATATTATTTTATAATCATTTCCGGTTATTTAAAATAAAATTTAAATATTATTTATTATTTTGACGGTGCTACCTTCCTTTTCAAGTTGTTGGATCATTTAAAGGTGTAGAAAGTTAGAACATTATTTTTTATTGCATTTAAAACATTTAAAATTGTTGTTATTTAACAGGCCGCAGGTAAACCCGTTTAGCCCGCGGGTTAAATGGACGGGCTGCGGGCCTTAAAATTTAAAACCGTTTATGAATGCGGGCTTTTTAAACCGCTCCGTTTAAGCCTGCACCGTCAAAACCCGTGGGCTAAACGGGCGAGTAGCCCGTATACCCACCTCTAGATGTGATATATAAAATATATCAGTTATAAAAAAATCAAAAAACCATTATCAATCTAGACACTAATTTTCGTCCACATTTTTTTTTACATATATATCTATATATTATATAGTTTGCAAATGATTTTTGAAAATACGTATATAATATATAGTTTTTTTAAAACATTTTTGAATATATATATATATATATTATATAGTTTTTAAAACATTTTTGAAAATGATATAATATATAGTTTTTAAAACATTTTAGAAAATATATAATGTATATATAATTTTTGAAATCATTTTGAAAATATATAATATATAGTTTTTTAAAAATATTTTTGAAAACATATATTATATAGTTTTGAAAATATATATAATATATAATTTTTGAAAAAACATTTTTTTGAAATCATATATATACTATATAGATTTTTTTTAAAAAAATTATTTTTTTGAAAAATATATATATTTTGAAAACATTTTTAAACATATATAATATATAGTTTGAAAATGCTTTTGAAATTATATAATTTAATTTTTTTTGGGAAAATATATATTGTATAGTTTTTTTAAAAAATTATAATAAATTCATTATTATTCCATTTATTTTTATTTTACGTTTTAATTTATTATTTTTTTCATTTTATTTCAGGTCCAGAGGGTCCAATAGTAGTCTAGTGGGTTTGGGGTCTGATCTAGCTCAATAAGTTCAGGGTTTAGAAACCTTAAAATGATATCATTCAAACAGCGCCGCACAGTAAGAGGAACAGATCGCGCACGTGAAGGTTACATGTCAAACGGCCAGTAGAACCTTCGGCTGAAATCCCCGGGACTGAACCATCCCGGGGTTATCGGTCAACCCACAACGACCATAACCCCAACCATTTCGGGGCTAAGAAACGACCAGAACCGAGCTATAAAAGCCTTAGTGAGGCCACGCAGAAGGGGGGATCACAATGGAGACATCATCATGGAACCAAAAGCCAACCATCACAGAGAGATCAACGATCAAACCCGAGACGATCAACAGTACTCACGGTGAAAAACAGAGAACAAAAAGCAAATACAAACCCATCGACCAACAAAAACCGAAACCACACATCAACAATAAACCAAAATAAAATCATTAACAAATACAAGCCAAAGGCCGAAGCCCCTCAATAAACGAACCAAAACAAGCACGGAAAGAAATATAAAGCAGAGGCTTCAATCGAAAAGCCACCGGAAGGCAAACGGTCACCAACGAAAGAGGTAAAAGCCAAAACTTTTGGGTTAGATTTACACCGATTCGTAAGGTTTTTGGGGTTTGGACTTCGGGTTAGTATTTAGGGTGAAAATAGGGTTGTGTTGGTGAAATAAAATTTTTTCTGGCGACCGGAGAGGTGGTGGTACGGTGGAGAGATGTCATCGAGCGATTGCCGGGCTTCGGCCGATTTAGGATAGGGGGAGAGGGTTTTTGAAGGATATGATTTTTTTTTTGTTGGGTGAATTATGAAGATTTTTTTTTTTGGGTTTTAGCCTATTTATAGGAGAGGGACTAAGTTATAATTACAGGATAGTTAAATCCTTTCCGTGATCTCTGCAAGTTTGAGTCACAATTCATTTCAGTCACTACATTCAATTTGGCCGTTGGATTTTCAATTGTTTCAATTTGGTCCTCATTTATATTTTACATTTTTTTGCAATTTGATCCCCGAATTCTTATTTTATTTTATTTATTATTATTATCATGCTTTTTAATTATTATTAGTATTTTTTTCCTCATATTGTTTTCATTTTTACTTTTAAAATAATTTTTTTCTCTATTTAATACTTCTTTATTATTTATTTATTTATTTAATTTTATTTTAATTTTATTTCTTTGGTATATATATATTTTATTATTATTATTATTATTTTCTTTTCATTTGGTTTATTTTTTTAGTACCATTATTTTATATATATTTTTTTATCTTTTCATTTTTATTTATTGTTTCAATTTTGTCTTTCGCAATTAAAATCAACCGATAAATTAATTGGTACCGAGAGGGCGGTTCAAGGGTGCTAATCCTTCCTTGACCGTAACCGACTCCCGAACCCAACACGTTTCTGGTACAACGCAGATCAGGTAGGATGGTGTCCGACCCACCTAATTTAGTTTTAAAATGGTCGGTGGCGACTCTTAATAATTTAATCAAAGTAGAAGCCCAATTCCGGGCCCAACCGAAAGACGGTTCGACAATCAACATATGAATTTTGATATTTAATTTATATAAAATTTAAATCACAAATGATTTTTTAATTATTAATAGGTAATATATTATTTTTTTATAATTTTTAATTTATTTTATTCACAACTTTATTATTTAATATCATCTTGTTAAATCAATTAATTCAAATAAAATAATTATATAAATTAATCTATATATTACACGAGATATAAATTGATTTAAAAATATTAAACAACAAATATGTTATAATAATAATATTTTTATTTCAATTAAAATCATCAAATTTTAAAATTAAAAGTGTGTGAAACAACCAAAACATCAATTTAAACTTAAGAAAAAAAGGAAGCTTTTATTTTACTTTTAAGCGGTAAATCAGAATGGCGGGAAAAACGAAAAAGCAACATTGCTCAGCGAAAACAATCATAAAGCCCAAAGAGAAAATCTCCATGATTGTTCAAAATCAATTTCTTTTTCTCTTTCTGGTAAATAATGGACAAATATTTGGTTCCTTCCAAACCCTATACTGAAAACCCTGAACCCAAGCCAAGGTAATGTTCACTTCCTTATTTCTGTGCCAATCTCGTTTTCTGTTGCTCTGAATTTTTAATACTGGCTGAGTTTCGAAATGTTCGTTCCAATCCAAAGGCCTCGTCCATGGCGAAGAAGCGAGGTCGAATTGAACGGAAAATTCGACCCCAAATACCGTCACAGCCTCTCTCCTCTTCTCATGCACTCTTATTCCGAGGTCTTTCAAATCCTCTTGTAATAGCTTTTTTAAGCTTTTGTTAATGGTTGATTTGGTCAATTACTGATCTTTTCTTTTATGATGACTTAGATTGGTGCGTTTCCGCATTTTTACCACATTGATGAAAAGCCATGTCAAACCCATGTATACGCCAAATTGATTTGTGATGATTATTCCGTTCAATTATGTTGTTTAATTTGCTGGATTGTGACTTCTAAACATCTGTTTCTAGATGAATCGGATTAACAATGCTGCGAATTTGGGTCATCAGCTTCCGTTCAGAATGTTTGTGCTTCTTACCTCTCTTCTTTTTCTCCCCTATTTTTCAGTGAAAATATACGTATATTTATTTATGGTTTTTGCAATTGGTATCACATGTTCATTTATCTATTTATTTATTTTCAGTTTAAGTCGATTGCTTTGCTTTTCATATTTTACTTGGAAAAATGCTTTATACTGTTTTTTTTTTTCAAAAAGTGAAACGCATAAATGCTGTTATGATAAGGATCTTTATCAACAATCATAATTTTGCTTTGAGTCATTCATGGAACGTAATCGACCTGGTAGACAGTGGTAGTAACTAAACTAAGTTAAAAAAATATTATCTGGGAAAAATCAGAATAATGATACCAGTGAATTAGGTCTCAAGTTTCTATAGTGGTAGTTATTTTAGTCCACAATGAAGAATTGTTGATAATTTGATTTGGCCTTTCTTTACTAGGTTTAATTTCTTCTACAATTCTGGTTATTTCAAGTTATATTCTTGAGAATTCAATTCATCTAATCAGTTTAATCATCATTTTGTTTTAACATTCAACTCTGCATTTTCAAGACATGAGAATTGTTGGCGGTAAAGCTTTTTGATATCCTCTGCCAAATTTCAATTTATTCATGCATTTTGTTTCATTTCAAAAGACCGCTTACTATTATTCTTTATCAGGCAAGGAATATCTGCAGTTGACTTTGACAACAAGGTGAAGCCTCACAATACTAATAACAAAATTATAGCTTGCAGTGCCTTTTGATGATAAGTTTGCCCTGCTAGTTTTGTTTCTTTATGGTCTTTTGGTTTATTCATATTTCTTGTAAAGCTTGTATGTAAAGAATGACACACACACACACACACACAGACACACATGTATGTATATGATTTGGATGATTAAGAATGAAATATTTTGGACTACAATCAAACTTGAAGTAGCATCAAATATGGGCTGAGTCATGCTGTTTAAAATTTGGTTCAAAAACATGTTTAGAACTTATCAAGCTTTTGAGGCAAAACTTTGAGTTTATTAGAACCCAACAGATCGGGAGTAGCTCTCTCCCATCCATGAATAGCACCTGGGTTCCAATTGGAGACAAACAGAAGTGGCCAAATTATTACATGTTTGCAAATAACTTTAATCTGTAAACTGCAGTTTAGGGACTTGGTGTTTTGTAGAATTGGTGTTTATTGTGGATTGCTGTGTCCACTGGTTCATGTGATATCTGTGAGTAGAAACTTCCTTTAAGCGTTTGCACTGATTAAGGCTTGTAATTTGGTTGGTGGCTTTAGGAGTTTTGTGTTATTTTGGTGTGCAACGCTGCCTATCACCTAACTACTAAATAAGTAATTGAATTTATGTTTTATGTCCTATGTGGCACTTTCATGACAACGAGTTAATCATTAATGAGAGATGCTTGATCTTTTCTTAATATCATTTTCTTATCTCCCCTTTTCCTTTGCACTGCATTTATACTGTTCTCTTTGTCCTGTCTCTTCTCTCCCCTACATCCCTTGATAATTTTAAGCAATAAATGTCTACAGGGAATATACTTGGTTTCTGTGACAAAATCAGGGTGCTTAACTGTTCATGACTTTGAGACTCTATATTGCCAGAGTACCGGCTCCTTGCCATGTAAGTTGATCAACTTGTTTCCACTTTTTCCCCTTTCCTAACATCCACAAATGTCTAGTCTACATGTTTTCCACAAATTTGTTGCATTGAAAATTGAAATCATTAAAATTCTTTTGTGACAATGTCCTGACATTTTTTATACATGCAAGTTATGTATGTGGAGAATGTAAACAAAATTCCAGCATTTAAACAGTGGTTTTATGCATTAAGGAGAAAGGCATCAGGCAAAGATTGTTCATTTGGCATGCCTCTTTAAACGTGTGGCCTGTATTCCTATGTTGATGATCAAAAAATTTGGTTTGATGTGCACCTTTTTGCATAATGCTGCATAAGGGTACAGTTATGAGTGAGTGGAGTACAAGTATATCATGCTTAATCTGTAGAGTCCAGTAGTTTCCGCTTTGTTAGTTATGTGCCATCCATGAATTTGGTTTAGGAGTCAATTTTCTGTGATGTGAATTTGTCACCCGAGCCATCATATTCTTGTTCCGTTATACTGTCCTACCATCCTGAAATTAGTTTAGGATTCAAGATGTTTAAATCAGCAACTTGACTCATCATCCTCTTGGATGCACTGTTTTACAGTCGTTATTCATTTTTGCTGGGCCTTATACATTGTTTACCTATGCATTTGTACTTATGTCCTCATAGGTTTCTTGGGGGTGCAGTAAAAGGCTGTATTGCACCTCTAATGTAGTTTGCATGATATTCCCAAGTCCCAACATCTACAATGGATAATTATTCCACTTCATCTTAATCTTAAACTCAAACCAAGGATGATGATAAACTTGGTGGACCTAAAGAGTTTCTTAACTTAATCACTTCAAAATCTCTTTTTGCCTTGAATTTCAAGTAAAATGTATACCCCCCAAAACAAAATAAAAACCTGGACACTTTTGAAGTTTATGAATTATGAATATGCTTACCCTTCTTTTTTTGTTCCTAATTTTTTTATCTGGACTTAGACATGCGTTCATCTATGCTAAATTCCTTACCATCCACCTTACTTTAAGTTTTTGTTATTTCCTTGGAATAGCCTTATATGAAGATGAAAGTAAGCATTTAATGCACCTCAATTTGCAACGCCAACTTGATGATGTTCGGTGGAATGTTGCTAACCAAGATGAGGTTCACTTCCATATCCACAAAATTTCATATAGTTAGATATTTGTATATGGTCAAGAGACATTTTACTTTATTGTTATTTGCACTTGCCATGTGCAAAATGTAGCTGTCAGCATAATGTTCTTGTTTACTGTGCTAGGTTGTGTGTACATCTGTGAAAAGTAATGAAGTACTGATCTTTGATATTGGTTATATCTCTTCTAAACCAGTTAAGGTAAGTTTCTCTTTTGGTTTCCTTTTCGTATACGATAAGTTTCTTTATTAGAGGTTTTGATTACCAATCTTTGTGGATCAACTAATTGTAGATTCACGCCTATATGATTGTTGATACTTATAATAGTTGTGTACTTGGGTTCTTTCCTTTCAGTTCAAGTTTTTGGATTAATTGGGCATTCAATTTAACATGGTATCAAAGTTCTTGAGTTTGAACATTGACAACCATTTCCCTTCTTAATATATCTTTAATTGGTCTCCTTTAATATATCTTTAATTAAAAAAAGAGATAAAATTATGAGTGGTACTTGAAGGGGGACTATGAGTGATGCATTTGAGATATTTGGAGTTTAAGCCTGATAAATAAAGGAGAATGGAATTGAATTTCTGCTATAGTTAATGTGATTTCCTTTTGAATCTGAGCTAGTTGATTAGTAATCTCTTGCTTCCTATTTTCTCTCAGCTATGGGCTCTGTTTTATTCACTCCTGGATCTTGCTTCAATGACTAATTTTGGTGTAATTATGAACTTCTTGATTTTTGAATTCATGTATTGGATCCAATATTGGATAAATGATTCCATGGCTCATGTTTGGTGATCTGATCTTACCCAGTTTAGCTCTTCTTTTATCCTGTGTACCGATTTGTGACTAATGGAGCTTCAAATAGGTTTTAATGTTGTCATAATTTCCATTTATGTGATAGGTTCCTCAAATAAAATTATTTGGTCATTGTTCTTGTCTTCGAAATTTAACTGTCAATGAATTCTTACAGTTTGCCTCTATCTGACTATAACTTTATTTCAGTGTATAATGATGATGACTTTCTTCATTGTTAACTCAGGTGTTAAGAACAAGACGAACTCTCTCTGTTCTTGGTTCGGAAGTCTATAAGGGTTTATGTGCCATAGCTTTTACAACAACTGATGATTCGAGGTTGGTCAAAGGCTGAGAAAAGTCCTTTACTCCCCACCTCCCCTAAATGATGAGAATAAATAAAAAAATTACCAGACAACTAATGTAACTGTTCAGGCTTATCTTCAATAAATCTGAGCTTGGTTGTTGAAGTCAGTTATATTATTTAGTTAAGTTGACCCTTTCATATTTGAGAAACCTCTTCTGATAGCGACCAAAGAAGTACAAAAAACAGAAAAGCATCATAACCTTGGGTAACAAAGTTTTGTGGCCTGATGTTGATTCATATTATTTATTTTTATTTATTTCTCTCTATTATAAGAAGGTTAATAATTCAGCAGAGGTTTGCCTGAATTACACCATGGTTATTCATAAGACAAGTTTGAAATGGAAGCAATTATTCTAGAGTGTTTGTTTTGCTTGTATGCCTTCACTAAATTTTGAAATATGAGTTTTTGTATAACTTTTTTTATTTCTATAGATTCATTATTTTGGACATGAAGATCAAGCCATCCTAGTCTATTTTCCACTGGACTAGAATCATGGAAGTTATTATTTTAAATCATCCTATTTATATTTGGTCATTCCAAATATTTTGTATCATTTATATTATCTTTTCTAAGCTAGCCTAAAGTATAAAGCATCACCTGCAAATTATTTGGAATTGGAGACATCATTGTGACGAAAAACTAGTTATTGTTCCTTCTTTTACATATATTGAAGCAGCACTTAAATTTTAGGAACAGAAACATGTTGGTAACAGTTTTCAGAAACTTCTTTTTGCCTGATTTTCCATTGAAGACAGTCAAGAGGCTTGGTTGGTGAGAAACAAGCTACTTATTGACGCCTTTGTTGATTTATGGACTTTTATTAGTCATCTTTGTTATACGTACCCTAGTAAATCTTTTGAGTTCTCAGATATATTTTTTTATTGGGGTTGGGGATCCTGACTAGCCAAGCAACAAAATAATCAATAGTTCTGCTGCTTTGTGGCTTAAGTCATGTTTAAGCAGTTAGGCTTTGAAATTAGTATCTTTAAGAAGGATTTGAACTAATTTTTTTATGTTCTAATCACAAGTTAACTAATATATTATTTATTAAAGCAGCTCTTAACGTTCTTGACCCAGTATTTGTTTTGTTCTGCTGATTTATGGATCTGTAAATGGAGGGTTTTATTTTCATTGCTGATAGTTTTTTATCCTGGATTTCTGCTCGGTAAATGGTTATACAACATATGAAGGCTACTATGTTTTCTATATTTCCAATGTTAGTTTGGTCACATATTGTTGAATTGAGTTGGGCTCAACTGCATAACCTTTTCTTCCTTCTGGTTGGTTACTGTAGGATAATTGCTTCTGACACGCATGGTGTAGTCAATATATGGGACAGAAGGAATAACCATTTTCCTTGCCTTGAGCTTATAACTGGTTCCCGTAGCACCCTCAATACTATCCAACCACATGTAGATAATCAGGTTAATAAATTGAAGAGCTCTCTTTTGTTTATTAAGTTTACTTATCTGAATCCCTAGGAAAGATGTATTTGTGTATGCTATCCTTCTTTTTCTGTTTAAGAGATGAACATGAGACTCATTCTATGTTACATGTTATTGAGCAACTCTGGCTTCAATGCATTTATTTAATTACATGATAATTAATATGTTTTTTAGATTCTAACATAATTGTTTTTCTTTTTTTTTCTTATTAAAAGATTGTGTTTTTGCTAACGAGTGCAACTTGACCAAAAAAATTTAGGCTGTTCTGCAAACTGAAAGGTCACATGGTCTAAAATTTTAACATTCTATCAATTGACCCTACATGGACTTTTTGTAGAAGTGTGAAGACTAAATTCATTGAAATTAGGGTAGAGGAAATAAAACTGCCAGTTTTAATTAGTAGAGGAATTAAATTCAGACTTCGATTTATTTATTCTTTAATTATTGAAGAATGGTTTTGATTTAAAACTTACAAAATGGGTGGTGCTTATAAGAAATAAAAATGTTTGCCCATTTTAGTTGGGAAAAATGGAAGTAAGTGACTCAAGGATGCTCTTCTAGTTCTGTTAAGAAATCCATGTTGTTTGCATTTAGTTTACATAAGTTTTACATTATATTATTGTAATTTTGCTTCACTTTAACATATTGTTAGCAACAATAACGAGGTGCGAGCATAGTAGAATAATTAGTAGAGTTATTAAAACACACTAAATAGAAGGAACCCACACCCCTTTTAAAGATGCTACACAATTTATTGCTTGTAATGCTTTCTATTTGAGATTTTGAATAATCCTTAACCTTGATAAATGCATTTAATGCAGACCATTTTTGGGGCTAGTAAGGATGCGATTTATTGCTTGTAATGCTTTCTATTTGAGATTTTGAATAATCCTTAACCTTGATAAATGCATTTAATGCAGACCATTTTTGGGGCTAGTAAGGATGGCAATATTTATATGTGGGATCTTCGAGGTGGAAGAACATCTGCTGCTTTTCAATGTCATAATGAGGTAAGACCTTGAGGTTTGAATTTTGATTTTCGGAATAGACACCAGTTCTATGTATAAAGTTGGAATTAAAAGTTTGGTCAATTACTCTTCACCAGGGTTTTAAATAGCGGTCGCGACCGCAAAAGTGCCCGCGAAATAGCGGTAGCGCTGCTTTCCGATATACTCGCTATACCCGCAATAGCGCCCTCTATTGCCGCAATCGCGGTAAACGAGACATGACCGAAAACGCGACCGCGGCCGTGATTTGAATCCTTGCTCTTCACTGAACCCAGTACCTTTGATAAGTTCGTGATTGTACTTTTGATCAAGATGTATGTTATGCTGCTGAATATATAATTCTTCCATAGAAGTCAGAAACCATGCCCTTCTATTTGCATGAACGACAGAAAGAATACTGAAATAAGAATGTTCAGCAATTTTGGAACTTAATTGTAATAAATATGTATAATAGATACTAGTTAGTCCTTGTGTATTTACTTTATGTAAGGTCACCGTAATCTTTATATATGGAGTACCTATTTGTACCTCATCAGCCACCCCCTTATGATGAATTCTTTGCTTTTCCTGTGCTTTTTCTATGTTGCATATTGGCAAAAGTCTGCCAGACTGTTGCTGGCATTAACAACCATGCTTAAGATAAAATGGTACAAGGATGCAGCAGTCATACTAAGCCAAACTGTCTGGATTCAGTTATTGATGATATATCTTTATGCCTATAGTTAATGAAGCTTTGGAATTTGAAAAGATTGTTGCATCTTATTAATGCTTGTAGCGACATTCATGATGTTTTCACTCATTCAGGTAGGTCATCCTCCTCTGCTATCTTTGAAGTTAGCATCAATGTTGTCAAAGATTGGATCTTTAAAGGTATGCTCTATTAAATTTTGGTCATGTTCTTTCCCTTAGGAAACACATGTTTCTGTTAGATTTTCCTTTTCGAAAGGCCTTTAGATAAATTTTCCATGAAGGACCATATTTATGAACGTCCAATGTGTACCTTCACAAAAGTGCATTTAACATCTCTAATTAATTGCAATTGTCCTTATTTGATCTGGAACTACCAGAAAAAGCAGGAGTTATATAATGAAGTTGATGTAAACGCGTCTAGAATGAAGCATAGGTTACATGGGAACAAACCATCATGTTGAAGTAAAAACAGAATCAGCCCAGTTCGTTTCCATAATGTGAAATAAGTTTTATAATGACAGATTCCCTTTGTTTTTCAGGCACAATCAGATATCGTTCCTAAGGAAATACATTCCATTGATCTTGATCCTTCTTGCCCGTATCAATTGGCATTCCATCTAGATGATGGATGGTATGTTATGCAATGAAGCTAATTTCTTTTTCCTTCATTAATAATTTAGTCTGGATTATTGATTATGTTCACACTTCTCTCACATTTGTTCTTGTGATCTACCAGTGCTTAACAAGCAAAAATAATTTTTTAGGGATAATTACATGCGGTACCCAAATTATGGTGAGAGTTCTGATTTGGTGTCTAAAGAAAAAATATTTGCAACTAAGAACTCCAACTTTCATTCCATAAAAAATTCACCTCTTGCGTCCTTTGGTAGTCAAATGACAATGATCTGTCTCGAATCAGCCTCCCCTTCTCTCTCTTCTCTTTTTCCTTTCTCTTCCCCATTTCTTTTCCTGATCTTTTTATTTCTTTAATTTTCTATTTTAAAATAAAATGTGACATGGCATTGTTCAATTCATGGAAGATGATTTGGAATTCATAATACAGTTGCTGTGTTGTCATCAGCTGCTTAAGAAATCATTTTTCCCAGTTACTGATGTTTTCAAGGTATGCAATCTGCATGAAGGGATGAAAGTTGGAGTATTTGATTGCAATTTTATTCCTTCAGATATTAAATTGAGAATCTACCATACTTTTGGTACTAGTAAATGTTTTCCTTTATAGCTGCGTACTTTGGGTACTAACAGTTTAATTAGAAAGCTGTAACTGCTGTAACTAAATTATTATGCCCCCTGAACACAACCTGCTCTATTTATCACATAATTAAAATACCCATTTGCTTCTATGGTAATTTCCATTGGAGAAAAAGAAGATACAAAACCTAACTTTGTGAAGCGGTTAAGAAGAAAATCAGCAATAAAACAGTAAAATTATGACTGAAATATGAATGGGAAAGATGAAACTGGAGAAAAACTTATGGTTAAGGAAAACTTAACTTTTCTCTACTAATTCAAAGAAAATAATAAGTTGTGGTTGTAATGTTTTATAGCTTATTTATATTAGGGTTACAAATGAAACATAAATGAAATTTATAACCCTACCCATCCAAAATATATCTCATATATAATAAAATAAATATTATAATAATATAAGCTCCGATGTCACTTTGACGCATTCTTTCTTTTCAATTCCTCGTAATGTGCAGGTCAGGTGTTTTGAATATTTACAATTTAAGAGTTACGCATGTTCATTGTCCTCCTCCAGCTTGGTTGTAAGTGAAGTTAAACAACTTTACAACGTTTCATATTTTATAGCAAGGTATTGGGAACTTATGTATGGTATCTGGACATTTAGTTCATTCTTTTTTAATTTGAATTGTTAGGACTGGAGCCAGCATATCATCTGATCTGCTATACTTGAGAAAACCCTCATGGCTACCAGCATCTTCTGTAAGAACCTTTTTATCACAGTTTTTCGTTCAATTTCATTTCTGTACCATTATAAAATGTTCCCCAGTTTTCAATTATCGAATAACTGTTTTTAAAACTCAGGATAACTATCAAATTCCTCAAATGGGATATAAATTACTAGGCACATTAAAGGAAACCTAACTTTTGAGCGTTGTGCAACAATCAGCTAAATCATCTTCATAGCTTCTCTTTTCCTCCTTCCGCTAGTTGCCTCTTTCACAAGAGCCAACTAAGAGGGAGGTTTTTAATGAGGCCTCCTATTCCTATAAAAAAAAATCTTCATATAATGCTTCAAGTTCTTTTACCATATGTAATGCTACAGTTTTGAACACTCGGCAACTTTCTATGGCTGTTGCCTTGCATACAGTTTTAAGTAATGCAGGAATGTTTTGATTAACAATATCCTTAAACACATAGCAACATATGCATCACAGCCTTTTCTGGGGGGTTTTAATGCCTATGGGCTCAAACTGTTACGCCCTCTTGGAGCCCAGTATGCAATTAAGAAAAATCTCACACCATTATTTGTTTGGTGCAGATTTATGCAGTAGGATCATCATATGACACTGGCATTCATATTTTAGATTTCTATCCTGATACAAGCTCTCCCAGCCACGTTGACTACAAGTAAGGGGGTTCTTAAAATTTAATACATTAGCCATCTGGTTCTCTGGTGGTTATATGGATTGTTTTGGTTGTACACATGATTTACATTTGCGTGTTCAAATCTTAGTATTGTTCTTGTAAGAGTAAATCAGACCAAGCAGTTTGTCCGTGTAGTCAGGCGCACATTCATGCATGTGCTTAACATATGATATGAAATTATATTTATGTGCAAAATCATATGACCGGTGTCCATGTTTCTTTCAGGAGTTGATTTTCTTTTTCACAATTGTGTCTATTTATCTTTTGTTTTCCTAGTGAGCATGCAGAAAGTCTGTCTGAGATGAACCGTCAAACGAAGAAAAACATTTTTGTTCCATTATCTGAAGGTGTTACTGCATGTGCAAGTCATCCCCTCAATGGTACCATCATAGCTGGGACAAAGGTTAGTGTTCTATTCTGATTCCTTGTATTTATAATATGATTAATATAGCTTCTTTCAATTCTCACACTACCTGCTTTCCCCCATACAATTTATAATTCTCACACCTAATTTTATGGACTCTTGTTTTGTAATTGATCCTGTTTATTTGCAAGTGAAATTGCATCTTTCAAGAAGCACCATTTGTTTAATTACGCTTCCTCACTTATAGAAATCAAAATCGTTGTGATAATTTATTCTGATTTAAAATTGTTTCAGCATTCATCATTGCTCGCCATTTCTCAAGCACACCAGAAATTTGTGTAGGCAACGGAGAAGGTCCTCTAAAGTTATGAAACTGGTAACTTTTCCTACTATTTTGTCATCAACTCAGAAGGCATAAAACAATGAAACTGATAACTTAAAATCGTTAAACGGGTAGATCTAAATTTCATCACCCAACCTGTTTGATCGAAATTCATACCAACTTCTTGTATAGAAGCCTTGAGCTCAAAGTCACCGAGGAATGATTCTACTATGTAGGTTCTATTCATCAACTTAGGTTTGTCTTAAAGCCAAGCCCTGATGTGTTGTGTAAACATTCAATCCTTTTTGGTATTTGATTGGTATAACTGTATCGAAATTAAGCAAATAAATTGATGCCAGTAGCTATTGCTTAGCTGTAGAATACATAGTAAAATTAGTTTTGGTAACGTTGTCGTTAGAACAATAAATTATATAGAGAAAATGGCCTCAGTGACAAAAAATGCCTTATATACGATTTTAATCAACTTTTTTTGGATATGTCAAAATGACCAACAAAATCGCAATGCGAAATAAAAATCGTAACGCGATCTCCAGAATCGTAAATCAGTTCCCAGAATCGCAACGCGATTATGAAGAATCGCAATGCGATAGTACAAATTCGCATTGTGATTTTTCAGAATCGCAACGCGAATATGAAAATCGCAACGCGATTCTGACTATCGCAACGAATATTCGTAAAATTGCAACGCGTATTCGTAAATCGTAACGACAATACGTAAAATTGTAACATGTATCCGTAAATCGCAACGAGAATACGTAAATCGCAACGCGTATCTGTAAATCGCAACGAGAATACGTAAATCGCAACGAGAATCTGTAAATCGCAACGACAATACGTAAAATGGCAACGCGTATTCGTAAATCGCAACGCGATCTTCGGTATCGCAAATCAGTTTCCAAATTCGCAACTCGATTTCTGAATTCGCAACAGGTTTTAATTTCTCAACACAAATGTTTTGGGTATATAACTATGCATCAGCATCAGCTCATAACCTAAATCCCTAAATCGCAACTCATTCCATCTCCATCTATCACTCTCTCCGGCGACATCTGTTCCTATATCCAATGACATCCTTCCCCATCCGGCAACAGGTTTTAGTTTCGCAGCTCGTTTGTTTAGTAAATTAATTTACAATAATAAAATCATCTAATGTTAATCATGTTTGGATAGATTTGTGTTTTGGAAGGTTATGGGAGAATGTTCATGGTGTTTTACAATATATGTCTTTACCCATGAATCTTCAATTAAAACTGTCATTAAAAAAGTTAACTTATGAAACTTTAATGTTACGTGTTGCAAATAAATTGAATTTAGTGTCACTAAGTGGATTTAGGCCATCTTATCAGAGAAATGGTAAAGTTTATTTGTTAATCGACAATGAAGATGTTGAACGATTCATTGCTTACATTAGTGTTTCAAGTGATGATGTTACATTGTATGTTGTTGAACCTAGAAGTAGTGAAGTTGGGTCAGTAGCGGGTAGTAATCAACTAAGTTTTTCAATCTCAGTTTATGGTGCTCAAAATTTAATGGTTCCACCACAATTTCATCACCAAACAAATATTGTTTCACCACATTTCTAATACCAAGCACAATCTCAAAACCCACAACCTTTCCCTAATCCAAATCCCAATCAACTTTCAGTACCGAATTCCGGTTTTCGTATTGGCCAGTTAGACGATGATGAGCCAACAGAAAAAATTGTGAGTACTAGTCAGTATTTGAAATTTGATCTTGGTCAATACCCGGACTTTGATCTTGGTCAATACTCGGATTTTGATGATTTTTCAGAAGAAGAAACAGACCTTGCGTGTAATGATTTTGATATTGGTCAATACCCGAATTTTGATGATGAAACAGCCGTTGCCGAGGAAGATGTTGTTGATGATAATGAGGAGGAAGTTACGATTGTAAATGAACAAGTTGAACATCCATTCTGTAATTCATATAACACTGAAAAATAAAAAGAAGAAGAAGAAATCCCCAAAGAAAAGTCCCCGAAGAAAATGCCACGAGAGTATAATTGGAATATGCCAGAATTACTTTAGATACCGGAAGAAGAGTTGGTAAAGATAACAGTTGATTGTTACACAAAAATTATTCGTATCAAGAAAGATGATTATTTTGATACAAAGGAAGACTTGAATATAGCTTTGTATACGAAATGTGTGGAAGATGGCTATCAACTAAAAGTTAACAAATCAAGCAAAGATCGTTTCGAAACAAGGTGTATGATTGACAAAAACTGTATGTGGCGTATGATTGCAAAGAGGATAAAAGATTGCCAAATGTTTCAAGTTAGGACTTTTATTGATAAACATACATGTTCAAGAACCCAAGTTTTTCCTCACCATAGACAGGCAAACAAAAAGGTGTTGGGTAATTTTCTGGCTGAGTTAATGTTTTTGAATAGTAAGGTATATCGGGGACATGAAATTATGACTGACATGAATGCTCGGTTCAAGATTAGTATCTCATATTCTCAAGTTTGGAGAGCCAAATGTTATGCCTTGAAATTATTGAGGGGGTCGCCAAAAGCATCGTTTGCCCAACTGCCGGCTTATTGTCACAATTTAAAGCTGAAAAATCCTGGGTCGGTAACTCATATCAAAACAGATAGAGATGTGCGCTTTGAGTTGCTGTTTATCGCCATTGGTGCTGCGGTTAGTAAATCAATATAATTTTGTTGACTCGTTTTTGTTAGTTACATGCATTTCACATTTAAATTATTATATTTCTTGTGTATATGATTTTGTAGATTCGTTCGTTTATTAATTGCATGCGCCTAATTATTATAGTTGACGGAGCACATTTAAAAGGTCGATACCTTGGAGTAAACTTATTAGCAGTAGCCATGGATGCTAACAATGAGATACTGTCAATAGCTTACGGGGTCGGCAAATCTGAAACCTCTGATTCATGGACATGGTTTATGGGGTATTTTAGGGATTGCATAGGACCTATTAGCAATCTGACAATCATATCCGATAGGGCAAACTCAATTGACAACGTTGTTAGGTGTTTCCCAGATGCTTTTCATGGACTTTGTGGTGTTCATTTGTATAAAAATATAAAATCAAGGCCTGCTGGTATAAAAAAATCACAAATGGACATATTGGAAGGCTGTAAAAGCTTATCGGGAAGTGGATTTTAATAAGCATATAAACTGTTTAAGACGTGTTTTGCCTCAGTGTGCTCAAACACTAGAAGATGTCGGGTTTGAAAGATGGTCAAGAGTACATCAACTTGGAGCAATATATGGTTTCATGACGTCTAATAGTGCAGAATCAATCAACGCTCTAAGTCGTCATTCCCGGAAATTATCCATTACTATGTTAATGGAGCTTTTTCGAGCCTCTATTCAACAGTGATACTACAAGAAAAGAAACCATGCATGTATTATTTCTTTAAATTTGTAACTTATCATATATTTTACTAAGTATTATTTATTTAAATTTATAGGAACATTGGAACATCGTGTTACACCATGGACAGAAAAAAAGATAACGAAACGTGTTGTGAAGTCAACGTCATGGAGAGTTGAACCATGTTCAAACACTTTGTTTAAAGTACTGGATAATAACTTAAATGGGCTTGTCGATCTAAATGCAAAAACGTGTAGTTGTATGAAATGGAAAACATCTGGTTATCTGTATGACCATGTTATAAAAGTTTCTCTTCATCTAAACCAAGATGATTCAAGCGCATACGCTATGGATTACTACACTACAGAAGTATATCGACAGACTTATGGCGAGATTGTCTACCCTATTCCACATCCTTCTGAGTGGGACATACCAGATGACTTACAAACAGTTTTGCTACCAGCCATGGACAGAAGGCTACCTGGCCGACCAAAAAGTCACGATCGTATACCGTCTAAGGGTGAAGAGAAGAAGAGATCGACATGTAGTCGGTGCAAGGAAAGTGGTCATACAAGGTTGACATGTGGATCACCAGTGCCATCACAATCATCTTTTTCTCTACCAAAATATGGATCCTCATCAAAATCTCAATCACAACCGGCTTCACCTTTTGGGACTATTAACTTAGGTGATTTTTAAATGCAAACGTTGTATTATGTGTATATTATGTGTGAACTTTTAACATTTTCAGTTAGGCATGTATTAGTAACTTGAGTTTGAATATTGCTATGATAAGTTCAGTTGTTATCACTTATTAGACATTCATTTGATTATCGCAACGCAGAAATCGCAACGCGAATATGACTATCGCAACATGGAAATGACTATCGCAATGCGGAATTGACTATCGCAACGCGAAAATAACTATCGCAACGAGAGAATCGCAATGCGAAATGAAAATCGCAACGCGAAACTAATTTCGCATTGCGATTTTCATTTTCGCATTGCGATTCACTCGTTGCGATAGTCATTTCCGCGTTGCGATAGTCTGTTTTGCATTCAACATAATGCAGATTGAAATCAACAAATCAACTATTACGTTTCAATCAATTAAACAAGCACAAATATTATGTATACATCAATTAAACAAATCAACATTTACAAATCATCTTTTACAAATCAATTAAACAATCAAAAAATAATAATGAAATCAACTTTTGCACCCATACATCCATTTCACGTAGCTCACTTCAGGATTAACCTGCAGAAACCAAACATTGAATCAACAACACTTTCTACACATCTAAAACCTACAAACAACAAATTATTGAATTCTAGCTACTTAACCAAACACTTTAAACCAAAAAGAGTAAATATGTTTAACAACACTTGCATTTGACTTACAAATTGTTTATGGACACTTTCATAACGTGGATGCAGGTAGGCAGCGTCTCGTATATATCGCTCTAGCCATAAAATGCCGAAATCACAAGCCTACTGCACCTCTATCTCTATCGGTGGGAGGTAGAAAATGTTTACTTTATGTCGTCAAACGCTCCAAACATATGCATACGAGAGGACCACAATCCCCTCTAGCTTCCTTCGTTTGTTGTGGCGCGGTCTCGTCTCTGATAACTGTAACATTGAACTTTTTTGGCTTTTTGTTTCTAGACTTAGTCCAATAATCAAATGCATCCAAGAATTTAGTCAAATGAGAGCTCCATCCCTTAATCATATCTCTCAAATCAGACAATGATATGTAATTTATCATGCTGTCATATACTATTTTCTTTAGGGATGGGAGCTGAAGCTTGACGAGAAGCCAATGAGTACGGTCT